CCCAGCTGCTCTCCCAGCCTGGCTCCAGGGCAGAGGGGCTCCAGCCCTTGGAGCATCTCCGTGTCCTCCTCTGGACTGGTTCCAGCAGCTCCAGATCCTTCCTGTGCTGAGCACCCCAGAGATGGACACCGTACTCTTGGTGGGGTTTCATATTTTTCCAAACAATATTACACTAAAATACAGTAAATATTAAAATATTTCAAAAATCCTGCCCCATCCAACCAGCCCAGGAGCTGACAGAAACCCCCAGGGGGTTTGTGAAGCTCCCACCAGCCAGACACTGTGACACCATGCCCTGCAAAGGGAGGGGGCAGAGCTCCAGCCAGCATTCCAAAGGACCAGACCACTCCAAGTGGGAACCTCCCAGCTGCCAAGAGGCTGAGGAAGGGCTGGGCCTGCCCAGGTGCTCCCAGCTGAAGGGCCAGGAGCTGTGGTGCTCTCCAGAAGCACAGAAAGGCTTGGAAAAGCAAGAGTTATTTGCTGTCTCCCTCAGAGCAGCTGTATCAGGGCTCTGACAGGGTGCAGATAAAGGATGGCCAACATAAAAAGGCTCCAGCACTGTAAAGCACATTATTAAGTGATAACAAAGGAGACAGTTGTAAAAATGAACTATCAGTAAACACCAGAATTACAATTGCACGCTCCAACAGTAAAAGTCAAAAGCTAAAGTCCTGGATTTAATGTATTGCATCCAAAATAACTGACTGCAGATGTGCAGACCTTCAGGACACGCAGCTCTCCATTTTATGTACATTTTCTTTATGCAACACAAGTGATACTAGAAATAACAGAGACAAAAATCCCCTCCACTCCCTCATTCCACTCCTCTTTCCAGCCTGCTCAAGATCTCACATTAGAGACTCCTTCAGCTTTTAGAAAAATTCAGATGAGCTCTTAACTAGATGCTTCAAAACCCACTTCCAATCATTTGAGAGAGGCCCCTCAGCATTCAAAGCCACACAATAGTTTTGCACTGAGATCTCAGCATTACAATGATTCGCCCTTAGCCAGCAATATCACTTCTTACTATTGCATTTACCATAACACTTTTACCCCCAAATTTGTGAGGGATTTCTGTCAGTTTATTGTTGGGACAACAAGGGGGAACTCAGTTCACCTAATAAAATGTGACTATTTAGCCAGAGGAGGCTCAGGTGGGATATTAGGAAAGATTTCTTTGCTTAAAGACTGGAATTTTGTTTCTCCCTATGAACCTTTAGTGTCTCCTACAGAAAGGCACTGGAGTTATGTAGCAAAGTGTTTGACCACGCTGAGTGTCTTACCTTCTGCAAGATAAACCATTAGGAATTGTAAAGAAACAATTATCTGAGAGTACATGACAGCCTGAGGAGAATCATCTCTGTGGGAGTTCAACCCAGTGAAAAAGAACCACGGTGACAAGAAACAAGGAGGATTTCAAAAAGAATGCAATTAAACAAACAGAGAGGAAATGCACACCATACATCTTCTTCGTCCACAGTCTGCAGCTGTAATGCTTAAAAAACTTCCCTCAATGTGATTTATGTCTATTAGAAGTCTAGATGCGGGCAGGAATGCTCAGCTCTTCCATAAAACATTTGGAAAATGAATTTTCCTATTATTGGCTATTTACAAAGTTAAAAATGAATAATTTTTCACAGGGGCCCCAAAGAGCAGAGCAAAGCAAGATTTCCAGTTAATCATTCTGAGCTAACATTCTTTTGATGATGTCTACCTGCAGAGATTAATTATTTCCATACCACAAGGAAAAAGACAGCAATAATTACACAACAAGAAATGAAAATTCAGCACAAGTTATAATTCTCAACAGCCCAAAGCCAAAGTTTGGAAATTACTGAAGTTCAAGAAACACACTCATTTTGCAAAGGATTCCCATCTCTCCCAGCTTAAGGGGCGAGGGGGGAAGAAGAACCCCAAAATCAATAAATGAACCAACCCTACAGTTCTGAGTTCCAAGCAGCTCTACAGTTATGCACATTTAATAACATGATACTGATTTCAACAGTGTTCTAGTCACTCCACTACCATTTCCAGTATTAAAAGCTCCTGGGCTTCCCAACACCTCCGTAGGACTCGGGAAAGTGGAAAAACTAAGACCAAAAAAGTCAGTTTTAGGAAACCCAGGAAATGCTGAATTGAAGCTGCATTCAGCTCAGATAAAAACTATCAAGATAAGTTGTATTTAACACAAAACACAGACAAGCACAATGGTGCCTCAGCAGTACAAGATTTTACTTCCTAATCTCCACATTAGGATACATAAATTTAAAACCCTTGCAGCAATGCTATAGATTTGCCTGTGGAATTTTAATTAGTTGCATAATTCTTCTGAATTCCACCCCAGCTCCAGAACTTTGTTCTAATACTGCAATAACTCCTATCTTCAAGTCACTAATACATCCAGTCAGATTTAGCCTCAGGCTGATGTCACTGTCAGGATTTTTTTCCCTAAATGAATAATGATGTGATACTTTCATATAAATAAAAATATGTAAAGCAAAAAGCCGAGGAAATAACTCTGCAGAGTATTTCTAATTATCATAAGAATGGGGACATCAACCTTAAGTTGTTTTTACTTTCATGAGGAGATTCAAAATGCTGTGGAGAGCAGCTGGAGTCAGCTGAGACTCATTCTTTGGCTTGAAGAAGACTTTTAATAGAACGATTAAAATCCTCTGGAAAAAAAGTATTTCCTCATTAAACATGTAATGATAATTTTGATACTTGGATGCAAAAGCCACAGTTTCAACCCACACATGTGCTGGAGGGGAACATGAACTTCTCTGCACCGTTTAATTTTGGTCTAACTCTGTGCTGGGTTATTCCAATCAAATATTAAAACTGAAACACCTTTTGGTATAAAACAGAACAGACACCACCCTTCCCCATCCATCCGATTCTAAGCCTTCTGGAAAAATCCAGGCTTGCTTTTAAACCATGTCTTTTTCTGTGCAAAGGGAAAAGATACGTGTGAAAGCAGGATTTATGTTGCTATTACCACTACCCTCTGCCTCTGTGACAAACTCATCTTACTGTGGTGTGGACAGTTCAAATATAAAGATGACTTGACATAAAAACCATTCTATTTCTCCAAAATGTAATAAAATCTACTTGTCCTTTGATTTATGTTACTTAGGAAAGAGGCATTTCTGCACTTTTTGGTTTACAAACAACCGAAAAACAGAAGTAAAAAATAACCACTAAATCCCTCATACCAGTGCATTCCTGTTCCTAAATTCACTAGAGGTGGTGCCAATTAGGAGCAGAATAAAGCAGCATTAAAACAAATTAATCACTCATTAAAACCTTTGAGGAAGTCTGAGATGCTCTGTGTATTTTTTTGCTGTTAATTAATTAATGGGAGCATTAACCCCCTGGGTGCTGCTCAAGGGCACAATGGTGCCATGTCAGATGTTCTAGGTGGAACAGGGATAAAATGAACCTAAGATATTAATTAAATCACGATTCAGCTGGTGGAAAGAGCAACATTTTGCCCAGTAATAATGCAAATAAATGCTTGCAGGGAACATTGCTCAATAACAGAAACAATTGTGAGTGGGGCATTTCTCACTCAGCCTTTCAGACTTCAACCTAATTAAGGAAAATCCTTGTTTCCTCAGTATGACAGCACTGACACACTGCCAGCCCTCAGCTCTGCTCACAAAATTATGCAGGTTTTGGAAGTGATCTTGGCCCTACATCACAGCCCACACAGGCCCTTCAGACTCGTGTTCATGTTGCCTTTACTCCAGACCAGAAACATTCCAGAAACTGGTAAAACAGAGAAATTCCATGGCCATGTAAAGGCCAATTTGAAAACCACGTACAAGCATCAGGAGGACTTTCCTGGTGTGCCCACAATGGTATTTTGGGACCTCCACATCCCAGTGTAAGTCACGCCAGCCAGGATGGCCAAAAATCTGTCTGAAGGGAAACAGTCTCACTTTAAAAGGTGCCACCTCTCAGGAGACCAGGAAGTTTGAGATGCCTGCACATCCTTATCTCAAATTCAGGTCTCTATTTCAGTATAATGTGTGGATTTGGGATTTTTTTCTGCACACTTTTGGGTTAAACCCATCAACCAACTCTCCCACTCCTTTCCTGGGGGCAATGGGATGTCCTGCACATCGCTGCACACTTGGGGACTGGAACAAAACACAGACACCTCAAAAACCTGAATCTCCCAAACACGAAAAACTAGGAGATTTCTTTTTGAAACAGTAAATCAACTATATTCAAACCAAACAACATGAAAGCAGTCAGTCCTGCTTCCCAAACCAAACCCCAACGGGGACACAATGCACACAGACATTTAACAGCTTCATTTTTTTAAAAGCAACTCTACTTCTTTCAGTCTTCACCTGCATGAGACCTTCCATTCTCCACATAATTTCAGCCTGGATATTTCCACTGCCGCATGTAAGTCTCCACTTCTGCTTCTTAGTACTAAAGCCCTGAGATACCAACACTGAAAACAGAGATCCTTTGTACTGCTTATTAGCAGATTATTCCATCCCTAAGAGAATAAGACACTTAACTGTAAAGTGAAATGAAGCTGTACCAGCCCAAGACAGAAATAGGTTTTTTTTTTGCCTTCAAATAACACAGAGAAGTCCAATCCACAGCTCTCTGCTCCATAAAGACATAAAGCAAAATAATTCCTTCCACAGACATCATTTAATAAAGAGAAGCAGCAATAAAACCAAACCTGCACTTTGCCAAGTTTCAATATTGTTAACAAATCCTTCTGAACTATTTACTTTGGGTTTTTTGTGGGATTTTTTAAAAGAAACACTTCCTGTTTGTTTCACTTCCACGTTGGCTGCTAAAATTGCAATAATGTCACAGAAATCGCTTCACTCGGGGAGGCCCAGCTTCGGATTCTAAAGGGACACAAATGTAAGGGGCTTGAAAACGACTGAATTTATGGGGTTTTCAAAGGGGAGGCACTGGAAGTCGGGGTTTAGCACTGACAGGGAAGATGCCTGGGGGGTTCTGACCTCGTTCACGGCCACGTAGTAGCGCTGCTGCTGGAACTGAGGGGAGTTGTCGTTGCGGTCCCTCACCACGATCCGCACCTCGTGGTTGATGATGGTGCCAACCTTCTTGTTCACACACTGCACCTGCACCACGATGGACTGGATGGACACTGGGGGCTGAAAGGGAAAAATGCACCTTTATAAAGATCCCGAGGAGATGCCACAGGAAACCGTGGTTCATGAATGGTGGGATTCAGAGAATCCTGGAATGGTTTGCACTGCACGGGAATGCAAGGCCAGAAACAGCATCCAGTGCCACCCCCTGCCATGGGTAGGGACACCTCCCACTAGCCCAGGTTGC